GGCACCGTTTTAGACCATCCACTGAATAAAGAAAAGTCGTTCCCAATTGGATAATAGTGTCCATGTCAGTAGATCAATACCATTTTTTAAGGCCAAAAAATCATACACTAAAGTTTTTTGACCGAAAAATCATACACTGAATTAAAAAATTAATCAATTGATCTATGCAATCTTAATTTAGTTAAAATTCAGTTCTTGAGCTTTAATTTAATATAATTTGATTTTTATAATTTTGACTCGATTAAAATTTCATATTTAAATTTTAACTTGTACAATTCACTTTTTATAATTTTATCCATTTAAAATATTAGCCTTTGCATTTTAGAAAATAATATTATGAATAACAAGATTATTATTAAAGCTTATGAATTAATGTTTTAAATGGCTATAAAACTATATGAATTGAGTTAACCAAAGTTAAAGTATGTGGAATGAGCTCGATTAGTTTTTCACTAATTAAACACCAGCTTGTCAAACATTCATTCGGCAAAAATTAATTAGTAAAATTTAATTATTGTAATAAAATTTATGTTTGAATATATTTTTTAATTAATTTGATAACTAAAAGTTGTTAAGATTATATACAATAAAAAGTGATTTTAAATGTAGAATTATGAAAAAAATATTGATTTATGGTAATTTATGATTTTTTATACAATTATAATATATTAGAAATGTAAAAAAATATGTGATAAAAATTTTAAATGACATAACATTTAATATGTTAAAAAATATATAAATAGTTTAGCATATATTTACAATAAAAACTAATATAATTAATTTTTAGTCTATAATTTATATTTTACTGTCCTTTTTCCCTTGCTATTTGAATGTGGTGGTGCATTTTGGTGTGTGAGTCATGTCCTGCAAGCTTTAACAAATTTTATAAAAATAAAGAAACGCTTGCTGAAATCACAATTTCACTCATGTTTGATTTGGAAACTTGATTTATTTTATATATGACATTTTGTATTATCTATTTAAAAAGAAAAAATAGTTTAGTGGTTATGTATGCGACTTCGAAGCATTTCTTTGGTCGTTAGTGCGGTAACTGATTTTTCAAAAAACGAAGTTCATCATTTTGATAATTTCCTAACAACATAATCTCAAGGAAAAATAATAGATAAATTATTTTGAAATAAAAAAATAACAATTTAACCTCACAAGATGCAATAATCATAATGAGGTCTCAAGGGACTTTTTTGAGATTAAATTTTTATGTGAAATTACTTTAATACCTATTTACAATTAATTTTATATTGTTTACAAGTTTGATATAAATATTTACAAATTTAATTTCACAAGTTATTAAAATAATTTAGAAAATCACAATTTTCTATCAATAATTTTCTTCAATAAATGAAATCTAACTAATTTTACATGATCTATAAGTTTAATATAAGCATTCGTAAATATAGTTTCATTTGACAACAAATAATTTAAAAAATCACAATTTTTTATCAACAAAGTCTAACTAATTTTATATCATTTATAAATTTGGTGTAAGTATCCGCAAATTTACTTCTACTAATTATTAAAATAATTTAAAAAATTATAACTTTCTAAACTATAAAAAATATTAAAATAATTTCACGCAGAAATTCAATATCAAAAAAGTCTCTTTGAATCTCATTGTATTTATCATGTTTTATAGGACCAATGTGTCACTTCTCTATTTTAGAGAGATTTATATATTATTCTCCCTAATTTTAACAAAATTATTTAATCCTTAATTATATTTGAGATTTGTTTGTTTTATGCTTTTAAGCAAAGATTAATTAATATTAATAGTAAAATAAAAAATAATGATACAAAAATAGTCCCAAAAGTGAAGAATTTAATACCCAAACAACATCACTAAATCTAATTAATAAATTATTCTTCTCACTTTATGACATTTGGATAACAGTTATTAAAATTTTGGGATAACAGTTATATAAAAAATTAAAGAGATCACATTTCAAAAGTTTCACCCTATGACCTTCTCTAGATCTACATTTGAGGGCATTTAAAAAATACTTTTTAAAAGTTGATTTGAGGTAGAACATAACACCCAAACAACATCTTGCTTTCTATAAGTGCAAAAGAACTCTTTGAGTGGAATGTGAGAAAACCAAATAAGGTTAGAGTTATAACTGAATCAAATTATAGTGATTGAATTTTATTGAGTTAAAATTTAAAAATTAATTTACAATTGAATTAAAAGTAGATTGATTAAATGATTAATTTTTTAAAAAAAATTATAAATTTATGATTGTGAAGTTGCAAAGCATGAAGAAAAAGATTGGAGGAGAGAGACATATTGGAGGGGAGAGAGCGTGGGTGAGGAGAGAGATGGGAGAGGAAGAAGATTATGACCTACATGTAATTTTTTATTATAAAAAAACTATTAAAGATGCTATCTAAGTAAAGTGTGAGCCTACTAATAGAACCATTGGGTGTGTGGATGATAGGATGACGAGATAATAAAAAAAATTATCCAAACACTCAAAGATAAAAATGACCCGAGATTAAGCCCAAAATACTTGTAAACCCTAAGAAAAAAGTTTGAGAGACTAAAATTAACCTTTAACCTCATAAAAAATATTCAAAAATGCAAATAATGGGATCCATATAATGGCCATTAAGCACATTAATGTTGGGGGTTCAAATGTTTAAAAACAAAAGGAACTCACAATCAAGTTCAAAGTACCTATAAATCTCAAGAAAAAAGTTTGAGAGCAAAAATGAATCTTGACCCTTATATATTAAGCTAGTGAGCCTTGAAAGGTGATAGCTCCTATGTTAACTGGTGAATCAAAAGGATTTATTTAAAAATTAATGTTCAAATAATCACAAAACAAGTTATTAACCCAAACATCTTCCAACTAAGGGAAGTGATACTATCATTGGAATAATTTGCTATTAACGATGATAGAGGATTATCTCCTATTCCCTCCCCATCTTCTTCCATTCTTTTCTTTTTCTAACTATTAGATTAAAATTTAGGTGGTTTAGATTTGATATTTTGTAAAATTATTATTAAAATGTCAAATGATAAGAAAAGATGTTTAGTCAAATTCAAAATGTTAAAATTTAATTTAAATACTTTAAAACTACAATAAAAATAAAATAAAAATATTTTATAAAAAATTAAATCCAAACCATTCAAAATTTAATCTTTATTGTTATGAAAGGAAAATGAAGGAAAGGGATGGAAAATAAGGATGAGAAAATAATAGCTTATATTTCTAGCAAGGTTTTAAAAATCGAATCAAATCGTCGGTTTAACCGTAAACCAGTCACTAGTCTGGTTCAGTTGATGAAGATGAACCATGCGGTCAATGAACAGGTTAAAAATTGACCAACCGATCAACAAACCAAAAAACTGAAAAAAGCGAGTGGTTGATTGGTCTGAACGTTTCAATGTTTAAATACCTGAATCTGAGAAAAAAAAGAAAGGAATTTGACAGGAGAGGCTACAGAAAAGGTGAAGATGGAAAGAAATGAAAGATATTCATTAAAATTTAAGAAAAGAATGTATTTTCTAATAAACCACTACCTAAAATGCGTCTTTCCAGCAACAAAACTACCTGATCGGTCATAAAATCATCCATTGCTGTGAAGACGATATACTGCACTTCAGAAATAGTCACGACAGCAAAGGAAAATGGAGAAAAGGAGGATTGAAGGTGACGACTGGAGTTAGGGTATTAGGTTTGGGATAAAAAATTCTCTCTCCACGTGAACCATCCATTATTATATTATAATATATTATAATACTATATTAATAATTTTTAATAATAATATTATTATTATTTATATTAAAAAGCAGTAAAAGGTGTACAGAGGAGCAGCGGAAGAATTTGAAATGAGAGGAGGAGTATAAATATTTATTTATTTTTTCATTAATGCAAAAATTTTGATAAAAAATTCACATTAATACAATTAAATATTGTTTTCTGGGTGGTAAAAAAATCATATTAAATATTTTTTTAAAATGAAGTGAATGAAATAGATTATATGACAATATTATTCTTATAAAATATTAAAATATAAATGTATAGATAATTTAGAAAGTTTCTTTAATTTAAATATTATTTTTTATAATTTTGGATGAATTTATTTTGTGATATATATGTATATATATTATCTATAAATATTAAATTAATTATATTCAATTCGATCACGATTCAATTATGATCAGATCATTAACTCTTAAACTAATTCTTCATCTAATTTTTTTATATTTAAGATAGCTTTTAAGGTTCAATAAAACAAAAGAATGGAATACAGCTCAAGGTAGAGCCTACTGGGCTTTGAGAAAAGTCCATTGCCATCAATAGATGCATGCTTGATCAATAAAATAGTGTACCTTGACCTCGAGGGTTATTTTACTCGTACAGAAAAGCGATTTGCATACGGTGCTCCTCGTGATAAGCACAGTTGCTTATTAAATTAGGAGCAATCCTAACCTTTCATTTTAATTTAAATGAATCTTTATTATTTATTTAAATTAATTTTAAATATTTTTAACATTATATTTATTAATATAAGAAATATAAAAAAATTTAAAATTTTAATAAATATATTCATTATCAGTATAAATTTAATTTAATAATTTAATTTAATATTAAAAATTTTATAATTTTATAATTTAACTGTTTAGATAAACTTTGAATATTTCTAATATAATTTATATAATCTAATTTAATATTAAAGAATTTATAAATTTTATAAATTAATTATTTAAATATTTTTTAAATAATTCAGATTTAATGTTAAATTTTTTTATTTTTTTATTTTAATAAATATAATATTAAAAATATTTAAATTTTAATTTAAATAAATGGCAGAGATCCATTTAGATTGAAATGGAGGGTGAGGATTGCTTCTGAGCGCACCGAATGCGGACGCTACGGAAAAGTTGGCTCCACTCCACCCATCGAAAATTTGAAATTCTGAACTTAAACGGTCCGAAACTTTGAACTAAAAGGTATACAGACCGTTTATCTCAACAACTCTCCACCGTGGATCTTGCCCTCTGCTACTCTACTTCACCCGATTTTTTTTGTTTTCAGATTCTCATTTCCCTTATCAATTTCTCAGTGGATCTGTAATCTGAATTTTGTCTTACTCTCCCTATTTCCTCATCTCCAAGCCCTAATTTTCGCGTTGTTTCAGTAGATTTTCAGTTTGGATTGGTAGGTTTTCTCGAAACTGATTGGAGTATTTCACAATGCCATTCATATCGGAGGCTGCCAGTGCTATTAAGAGCAGGTTCGGGTTCCAGGATCATTCCTCCGACACTTTTTCGCTGGTTCAGAGAACTCCAGATCTTCTGAAATCTACTGCAAAAGAGAATATTGTGCACAGCTCTGCAGTTCGAAGTAGTAACGATTTGGATGAAGATGGAGTTGGGGACTGTAGCGCCGTATCGGCGAGTCAGAGCTTCGAATTCTGCGAGGATCCTTCTTTCTGGATGGATCACAACGTGCAGGTGGAGAGAGGCTTTGTTGTTTGCATTTTGAATCCCTTCTCTATTTACGCTTATGGAGTAATTATTCATATCAAGTATCGTAATTACGTTTATTCACGATTATTTATATCTTACTACCGATTATAGAGTAACTCTTCATATCAAGCATAATTTTGGTACTTCTTTTCTCTATTTACGACTATCCATATCAAGTAATGTCGTCACTTTTGAACTGTTAATTTCTGTAGAGGTCCGCTTCCGGCTGGTAGCGTATAAATAGTTAATACAAAGTTTCATAATGTATAGGGGTAAATTTTGTTCACTGAATAAATCATTACACCTGCAAATAAGTGACTGACAGCAAGAATTTTGCCTTGTAATGGAAACCCTTGAGCTATGCAATACATTTGCCTGGCAGTAAAATTAAAATCAGAAGTCGATGGACTGCATCATGTCTCACACACACACACACACACACATCATCAACACTGTTATAGTTTAAGGTCGTGGTTTATTTGTAACTTGATGTAAGCTAATCAAGTTTACATTGGTTCTCTTCTATGAGCTTAGGTTATTATTAGAATCCGCCCCCTTAGCAATGGCGAACTCTCATTGCAAGGGTACAGCAAATGCGTTAGGCAAGAGAGTTCTCAGGCAATTACTTGGATTGGACCTCCTGAGTCTCGATTTACCTTTGATCTTGTTGCAGATGAGAACGTTAGCCAGGTATGTTGTTGACTGATTCTTTTATCACTGTTCAGGCTTTACATTTTTCTTCTTTGATCATTAAACTTGTAATCCTTCATTATTATTGTAACAGGAGACTCTTTTTAAAGTAGCTGGTTTGCCAATGGTAGAAAATTGTATGGGAGGCTATAACAGCTGCATGTTTGCTTATGGCCAAGTGAGTCTTTCGTTAGCTATTCCACATGTTATCCCTGCACAGAAAATGACAGGAAAATTTCTGTATTATATGTCTTATATCCTGAACAATTAGAGTTTACTGTTTAAAATCCACAATGTGCAAGGGACCAAGACTTCTGTGATTTGATGTGTTGATCATTTAACTTAATTTTGCTTATATTACTATCATTTTCCTAGACTGGAAGTGGGAAGACTCACACCATGCTTGGAGACATTGAGGGTGGTACTCGAAGACACAGTGTGAATTGCGGGATGACACCAAGAGTTTTTGAGCACTTATTTTCTAGAATCCAGAAGGTAGTCTTTTAATATGCAGATGCCTCAGGCATTCCGGAACTGCTTTTGATCTAATTTTCAAACAAAACTTGCATCATAATTGAATAACTTGTGATCTTGGTCATGGGAGTTTTTTTGGGTGATAAACAATGTTTTTTTTTTTTTGGTACAAGGGTGATAAACAATGTTGGTAGAGAATGCTATTTAATATCACCAACACTTATCTACTTCTGTTTTTGTGAACTCTTTCTATTTTACAAAGCTTTCCTGTCATGCCATATATGAAACTTGACGTTTTCACATTTCATGCTGAAATGGGACTTATTTTGCAAACCCACGATTTAGGACTAGAAATAACTGTCACAGTTCTTGTATACAAGAATATACTTGGGAGAATTACATAAATTTTTCATTCAATACAATCAATTACTACAAAATACATTGACAACACAATGTGTTGTCATTTTCCTTTGTTCAATTGTCAATTGACATTATAGTAATTAATTTTGTTGTGTGAGACTTTAAAGTAATTCTCCCAATATAATTTCTGTGTTTAATCCCTTTGCTACAATAGGAAAAAGAGGCCAGGAGAGATGAGAAGTTAAAATTTACGTGCAAATGTTCTTTCTTGGAGATATACAATGAACAGATCCTTGATCTTCTAGAACCATCATTCAACAATTTGCAGGTATGGGAAGCTATTTTCTTACATAATTTAGTTATTCCTTCCATTTATGATATCCATCCTCCTTTTCAGAAAACTTACGTTGGCAATAAGATTGCTTCATCTGCCATTGAAAATTCCATTATTAATCTACCCTTGAAAATTCTCTCTCTAAATCATGGGAATAATATGTATAAATTACTTTGTGTTTTAAAGGAGGAGAGGCATTTATATTGCATCCCTTGAACCTTTGTTTAGACAACTTTTTATTTTATTTTGGTTGATCATATGGCAGATAAGAGAAGATAGTAAGAAAGGAATTTATGTAGAAAATCTCAAGGAAGTGGAGGTTACAAGTGCTCGAGATGTTATTCAACAACTTTTGCATGTATGTAATGCCTTCATCTTCATCTTCATCTTCACTTTTGAGATTGTTCTTTGTTTATAGATGGCTTTAACTTCAACAGCATTGATGTTGTTGTTTTAATTATTATTTTAGGGTTCTGCAAACAGAAAGGTTGCTGCCACTAATATGAATCGTGCTAGTAGTCGTTCTCATAGTGTCTTTACTTGCATCATTGAAAGTAAGGTAGAAATATTACTGCTTCCTTAGTTATTTTGTGTAAATTTAATAATGTTTTCATATTCTTTCCAAGTTCTATTGTTGATAAGCAATTAATTTAACTACTTGATTCTAGTGGGAATCTCAAGGTGTAACGCACCATCGGTTTGCTCGACTCAATCTTGTTGATTTGGCTGGATCAGAGAGGTAAATTCCAATAGTGTGTACAATTATGTGTTTGTTTGTGCATGTTAGGCGAGAGAATAATTTAAAAGTATCAAGTATCTTTACCTCATAATTTAGAATATGCCATCCGACTAATATGTTGTACCCATTTAATAATAGGCAAAAGAGCTCTGGTGCAGAAGGAGAACGTCTCAAGGAAGCTACTAATATCAATAAGTCTCTTTCAACCTTGGGGTTGGTTATCCTTACAAGGATCTTGAATTATTGTTTCTCAATATAGGAATATCTACTAGGCATTTCAGTTGTGGTGTTACCTCCCAATAAAATTAACTTGATGGTGATATGTTTTTTCAGCCTTGTAATTATGAACCTAGTGAGTATATCCAATGGCAAGTCACTCCATGTTCCATACCGTGATTCAAAGCTTACATTTCTGCTTCAGGTATCTTTGTGATTTAGAATCGAGTTAATTAGGTTGCCAAAATTGAAGTTCAAACTTCAAAACCATATTACAGTCTCCAATATTAGTGGTTTAGAAATGAATGGATGAGAATTATAAGGTTAAAAAGAACAATATTTGTTTTCAAATGGACTTTCAGCCAAAGCCTTTAACAGGTTCACTTATTAATTCTTTTTGTAAGTATAGAAAGAAACTTCAGTAATTAAATAAGCATCAAACTTTAATTAGGTAGTTCTTTGAAAGACTTTGAAATTGGAAGTTTCTTTTGCAATGACGTTGCATTAAAAAAACCCTTGTATTATCAGCAAAGGAGCTCTTATTTCAACCACATGAAGCAAAATACTTTATAATGCATGCAAACAAACAAACATGAAGACAGAGGTGGGGGTTTTTTTTGGTTGATTACGTTGCCAAGCTAGAAGTTGTTGATTGAATTTAAAAAATTTGCTTGAAGCACCAAAAGGTTGGAGCACTTTAAATTGTAGTTTATGGGACATTCCAGTATCCAATTTTTTATGAGCCTAAATTTCCAAGTTGATTTTTTTGGAATCTTGGACAACTTGATCAAGGCAGTATAAGAAAGAAACGTTCATGGTTCAAGCCCTAATAATATTTCGAAACCTCTTGATAAGGTTTAACATAAGAAAGATGATTTTCTTATGCTGATTTTTTAACGCAATTTGAGTTACTTCATCCTAATTATATAGATAAATAAGGTGAAGCAAATTATCAAGTTGCCTGATCAGTTTTTCATCTCTTCCTTTCAGGATTCTCTCGGAGGGAATTCCAAAACTATAATAATAGCAAATATTAGCCCCTCCACTTGGTTAGTGAACTTCTTTTCTTGTTCAAAATATATTTACACAAGAGTCTTATTTTTCTTCAGTAAAGTACCTTCCAGTAGCAAAAACTAAGTGAATGTCAACCTCGATATTTGTCATTCAATTTTACAAGTTTGTATGACATATATGGCTTTTCTTGCAGTTGTTCGTTGGAAACATTAAGCACATTAAAGTTTGCTCAGCGTGCCAAATTTATTAAGAATAATGTATGTCTTAAAATTATCTTGGCACTTCTTCATTTATGGCAGTCATAATTGAGAGTCTATGTTATTAGCTGATTGCAATACACTAGTAGTAGGAAGTAGAAAGTGTTTTACTTAATTGTTTTAATGTGTGGGAAAAGCTGATGACATGCTAAAAGGCTACTAGCTATGGTAGAGTGATTCTGACATCTGGGTCCTCTTAATATTAGACAGTAAGATTCTCATGCTATTGCTATAGTTTCTGCTAACTATTTTCTATTTTTCCTTCAGGCCATTGTAAATGAGGATGCATCTGGAGATGTCATTGCCATGAGAATGCAAATTCAACAACTAAAGGTACTTGGACAGATTTTCATTCATCTTTTCTTAGTTATGCTCTAAATTCTTTTGCTGCATACTAATGAGTTTTGTCCCTTCTGCTTCTGACTATTGGTTGCGCACAGGTTGGTTTGTGTAAGTAATTTGGTTCAAAAAAGAGCTTGCTAAAGTTGTATTAATGCACTTTTTACAAAAAGTAGGCACAAAATCGAAAGCGAGAGCATTTTTGCTTTTCATTTATTTATACTAAAAGGGAAAATGAATACACGGCTAACTGATTGCACATTACCAAGGACTAATTGTTCTGAGCATAACAGAAAGCGTGAATGGCCTTGCGGAAGATGTAGTTGGGGTACTTCTTTAAATATAAATATTTATTTAACAAAAGGGATTAGATCCCTTAATTAGTATCACTAATAGCCACAAGAGATGTCGGTGAGGAGGGTTGAATGGATAGTTTGCAGTCCTATAAAGAGGGGTAAAGGAAGACAAAAATAAACTCCAACGAAGTCATTGAATAAGACCTTTTAGTTAACAATATATCTAAATATTTGATTGTTGATAAAGCATAATGACATTGTGCAATCTATGTAGCCAACCCATCTAATGGAATGAGGCTTGTTGTTGTTGCTTTCTCCTTTTTTTTTTTTGCTAATTATGAATTTTTAATAGTTGATTTTCAATTTCTTTATAAGAACTGATTTCATTTATTTCTCATAAGAGGGACTTTACTATAGAATTGGCAGTAGACTTTCAAAAACATTTTCACTATGAATATAAAGCAATGCTGATTTATTTGATAAAATATGTGCTGTTGAATAGGGAATCTATCAAATTAATTATGTTTGCTCATTTTTAATGGGTTTCAGAAAGAAATATCCCGTTTACAAGGTCTAGGTGGTGGAGAAGCTCAGGATAATGACATTTCAGTCATTAACTTTCCAGGATCTCCAGGATCCTTCAAATGGGAGGGAAATAATGGATTATTTAGCCCATTAACCTCCGGTAAAAAGATATCTAAGGTGCACTTTTATTTCCTTGATATCTAAGAAATATTCAGGCTTATCATTATTTTGTATACTCTGATGAGGTTTTTTGTCTCTATTTCAGAAAAGAGACTATGAAGTTGCACTCGTTGGGGCCTTTAGGAGGGAGAAGGACAAAGAGATGGCATTGCAGGCACTACGAGCTGAAAATCAAGCAGCCATGCAACTTGTATGTGCAAAAATGCAGTATATTATGGGTTAGCTATATCAGTTTTCTAATCACGAGGCTTGTTGTTGTTGTTGTATATCAGTTTTCTATCTGATTAGAATGGAAGTGGAAAAACAAATAGGTCGGCTTTTATACTTCATGAAGCAATGAGCTTGGGAAATTTTTGCCATTTGTTATCTGTTCATGTTGCTCTATAGTCATGCTTTTGTATGGTTTTTGAGTAATCGACATGTTCAGTTGCAATACTCATGGTTCTTGTTCATTAATGGTGTTATTCTACGGAAATTAAATGGCTGTGACTCGAATGAATCAGGCCAAACAAAGGGAAGATGAGATTCAGGGTCTCAAGATGAGGCTTCGTTTTCGAGAAGCTGGAATAAAGAGACTAGAAGCAATTGCTTCTGGAAAGATCTCTGCTGAGGCACACTTGCTGAAAGAGAAAGAGGAGCATTTGAAAGAAATTGAGGTCTTGCGAGCCCAGGTGGACCGAAATCAAGAAGTGACTAGATTTGCTATGGAAAATTTGCGACTAAAAGAAGAAATTAGAAGGCATGTCTTTATTTTGTACACTGTGAATCCTCTTTTGTTAGTGTTTTTTTTTTTTTGTGAAACAAAGCAAGTTCTTATTAATTACCGGACCAAAATCAATTTTAAATACATGATATAGTTCTAATGCATACATTGCTCGTTATCTATGCCAATGCGCAAAATATGCAGAAACAAATTATTGCTATAATATTTTTTATCACCTTTTCTGCTCTAAAGGTGTCGTCTGTATGTTTTTCTGTTAAGTTTTTATATATCTCTGCTCCATAGGTTGAAGTCATTTTGAAGAGGGTGAAAGGGAAGTTATGAATGAACAGATCATTGTACTGGAAAACAAGGTGCGATTTATTTGAAGTCCTCAAAATTCACTTGAAGTTCTCATCCAACCTCTCCTCTGTGTTGATTCTGTTTGCCACTGTGTGCAGTTGTTGGAAGCACTAGATTGGAAACTAATGCACGAAGCTGATATGGTAGTGGTTCATATTTTCTGTGTTTTTAGGAATAATGAATTCATTTCTTTTACATGTCTATAAGTGGTCGGTACTCTCTTTTTGACCTACTCGAACGCCAATGTCGTAGAAAACAAATTCTGACTCGGTGATGGAAGAGGCAAATGGGGATGGGAATCTTATTTCCAAAGAGGTAAGATGAAGTCTTCTGTTGTTGTGTTGTCAACATGTCCATCCATTAAAATTGATTTAGACTATCTGAGCTAAAATTAGACCTGGGAAAGTCCTTTTTTTTTTTTTTAACGGAAATACATTCTTGTGTAATCTGCTCATTTTTTTTGAGCTAGAAAAAAACCCTTCAGTTTTTTAGCTACCTTTCGAAGTCATTTTGTTGTCTGACTAATTTATTTCTTGCTAATATTTGACCAAAGGAGTTAGGACCAAAATCACCTTTGCAGTCTTCTAATCGTGAGGAAAATGAGTTTCTCAAAATGCAGGTCTAGATAAATCTCATTTATTTGAACTTGATTTTCTTTATTGGTCAAACTGTTGTCCAAGTCAGACATCACATCAATTTATCAATGGCAGGCGATCCAAAGGCGAGAAGAAATGGACTCCATGTGTAAGAAATTAGAATTTTGTCTTGAAGAGAAAGCAAAGTTGGAAAGGTACTTGCGCTTTCTCCCAGTTTCCCTTCCCCTTTTCCTCTCTCTCTTATTTTTCAATTCCTTATGCAGTGACCCCACAATGGCTTTGGTTTTGACAGAGTGACTCTTGAAATAATATTTTCTTCGTATTGCTCTTTTTCTTTATTTTTTGCCTTGAAGATCGATGTTTCTAAATTATCCATCCACTATTATCTTGTAGGCAAGTGGATGATTTGGCAGCAAAACTTGAACAAGAGAAGCTCCAAGCCATGAAAGAGGGAAGCCGGGAGATGGAGATTCCCTCATCATGCAATATGCCCATCATTAGCATCAATGATCAACTGGAATTGAAAGCAATGGTGGATGCTATTGCTGCTGCAAGTCAAAGAGAGGCAGAGGCTCATGAGACAGCTATTATTTTATCAAAGGAGAATGATGAGCTCAAGATGAAGCTTAAAGTTTTGATCGAGGATAATAGCAAGCTAATTGAATTGTACGAACTGGTTGCTGCTGAAAGTAATAACAGAATTGTCAATAAAGCTGAGGATGCTCGAGAAGTTGCTGTCCAGGTTAATGGCGGCTGTTCTCCTGAAGGAGCTAGAGAAGAGGACACCGAGTCTGAGATGAAAAGAGTAATTGAGAATCTCCAGCATCAAGTACTGGAAATGAATGAAGAAAATGAGAAGCTGATGAGCTTGTATGAAAGAGCCGTGCAAGAGAGGAATGATCTCCTGCATCAACAGGTTGCTGCTGAAAGTAATAACAGGATTGTAAATAAAGCTGAGGATGCTCGAGCAGTTGCTGCCCGGGTTAATGGCGGCTGTTCTCCTGAAGGTACAAGAGAAGTGGACACTGAGATGAAAAGAGTAATTGAGAATCTCCAGCATCAACTACTGGAAATGAATGAGGAAAATGAAAAACTGATGAGCTTGTATGAAAGAGCCATGCAAGAGAGGGATGATCTTAAAATAGTCCTTTCATCTTGTGTACATGAAAGAGCTGAATCCAAAAGGGAAATGGAATGCCCAGAAAAGCTTGTTGAAGTTGATGAGGGGGAAAAAGACTCAAGTATAGAAACTGGTTTCCAGGAAATGCAGGGTGTAATTGAAAGTAAAGGCTTGGATACTTTGTCTGGTTCTAGTTTGTGTATAGTGTGTGATGAACACAACGTGCCAAGTCAGACCAGCCCCCAGCAAAATGACCATCTTGAATCAGGTGAACTTCCTGGCCACGTCAAAGAAAGAGTTTTACTGGAGGGGAGTACTTCAATCAAGGAATCTCGAGTGAATCATGAGGTTGATATTCCTGTCTACTCTGACATGAATATTGAAGTATTGACTGCAAAGGGGCTGTCATGTGAATTAAGTCAAGCTAGAAAGAAACTTGAGAGAGTTGAAGAACAGATTTCAAATGTTGTCAGAACTCTAGCAGCGCTAGATTGTGCTGAGAAGGCAACAATTGAGGTTGATAAGCTCTCCAGGGAAATTGAAGTTATGGAAAGCGACATCCAGATTAAGCATCAACAGATAGAATCCTTAAAACTCCTGCTGTCAGAAGCGCAAGAAAGAAGAACTCTAGTTGATAAGAAGTTTTCTGCAGTTAACTATTCATTGTCAAACTTTGCCCCATCGTTTTCTTATTTTGAGAAACGGGAAGTACAAGCAAGGGCCGTTGTATGTGAATTGATGAGATGCCTTGACAAAAAGAGAGAGGAATTGGCTTCTCTTCAAGCATGCAAGCTTGGGGTAGAGAATGCCAAAAAGAAGAACCAAGAATCTGAAGTTGAACTAGTGGCAAACATTGCATTCACCAAATCCCTATTAGAGGAAGAGAACCGCAAGCGGGAGGGTGAAAAGGTTCTCTTTGCGATTGACAACATCCAGAACATAGACTCTTCACAGAAAAACTGGCATATGAGTGGTAAAGCTACTGAGTTACTAAAATCAGAGGAAGAAGAAATAACCAAGCTGCAAGCAGCGATAAGGCTGTCTCAGGAAAAACTTGGCATCACAAGAAAGGAACTGGGAAATCTAAAGAAAAAGAATTCAACTTTAGAGGAGCAGATACAGGTTGTTCAACTGGAAATACAAGAAATTTTGAGTTAAAACGGAGGAAAAGGAGCTAGCACTTCAGCGAGTGGTGAGTGAAAAGGAGATGCTCTTGGAATTTAGAAACAATGGGATGACTGAAATAGAGTCCATGATCGTTGAGTTCCAGGAATGTGTGTTTGAATCAGATTTGAAGCAGGCTGAGATAAAGATCCTGGAGGAAGAGTTACAGATGGGATTTGGAAGAATCGTAGAATTACAGACAGCTAGAGCCATAGCTTCTAGCAAGAAAGCCAATCTGCTAGCCTCAACGTCTAGTTCATGCTTGCTTGAAAAATGGAGGAGGAAATGCAAAATGTAAAGGTGTCTGTCTGGGAGACAAAGTTGTTGTGCGTCTAAACAGTATGACTTACCTTATCCTCCACTTTTAATTTGTAACATGTTCTGACATTGACCTTTTCATTAATTTATGCTACTGTAAAGTAACCAAACTTCTGTTGGTTCGATGTAATTGATCCCATTTATGTTTTGTGCAACATGAGATGCAATGATGTATAGAGTACAGAGCTTCATTTCAATCCCCCACTGCGCTTTCCAATTTTGCACCTGCTGGCTGAGTTTGATTGAGACAACGAAGTGAAATCCAGATAGAGGAGCAATTAAAGGAACAAAAAATTTTATCTATCAAATTTTCAACAGCAATAAATTGTAATAAATTTAAACTTTTAATATTATTGAAAGAAAAAGTTAATTATTTAATTCTTGTAATTTTAATTAGTTGTAATTCAATTTCTGAATTTGACTTAGTATAATTCAATCTTTATATTTTTGTTTTGGTGATAATTCAATCTTAATTTTGATTCACTAAACTTAGTCTCTATAATTTAAACCATTTAAAATAGTGGTCTTATGTCTTAAAATTAAAATTCAAAAATTAAAATTATGTTGACATTTAGGGACTAATATTTTAAGTTACTAAAACTTTCAATTTGATATAATATATATATATATAATCTTCTAATTTATTTTTTAAATATAAAAGTTAATATTTTAAATATTAAAAACTATATAAAACTGAATTTTGCTGAGTTAAAATTTATAAATTAAGTTATAATCAAGTTAAAATTTTATGATTAATTTTCTTGTTTAAAATTAGTAATTACTATTATTTTTAAACAGCATATATGATCTCGGGTTTTGCTCTTCCATTGTGGAATAGTACCGTTAATCTAACTGTATTCAACACAAATCATATGCATTATCCATTAGTATTAATGGTGCCGACCGCAATGATGCTGCCCCGTTGAAGGCTCCCATCCTTATCCTTCCATCCATGTACGTCAAAAGACGCCAGCTGAATTTTTTCTTAACCATAATCGCCTGGTATGACCTAGCTAGCTGACTTTGCTCTTAACGACCATCGCCCGGGATTAAGTCATTCATTGAATGGATATAAAATAATGATAACATAAATGGGAATTTTTT